GTCCTTCTTGATGATCCTGGGATCATCTGCTCCTGAAATGAAAGATTAATCACTTCCTTTTTAGTTACACATATTCTACAAGATGGCTAAACTTCTTTGCCCATCCCTGTCTCTCCTACTTTGGACACATTGTCCGGAGGGAACAGTCGCTGGAGAAGGATGTCATGCTGGGTAAGGTGGAGGGTCAGAGATAAAGAGGAAGACACCCAACGAGATGGATCAGCCAGGTGGCATCATTGATGGCATCAAGTGTGGCAGCGGTAGTGAGGTTGGCCCAGGATTGGACATTGTTTCATTCTGCTGTGCATGGGGTCGCTACGAGTCGGTTCTGACTCGATGGCACCTGACAACAACAACATTCTACAATTACAGCCATGACAATCAAAAATAATCCTGCTAAAAATTATTCACAATCGAGTCATAGAATCCTATCACTGTTATCCCACATTCCCTTTCAACAGATCCATCTGGGAAAGAGGAAACTGTTCAGTGGGGATTCTACCTCCTTTCTCATTCTGCAACTAAGTATACTCATGAAAGCTTGTAAGTCAGCCACTTCATGCCTTTTTGTAGCACCCCATTTTTGATAGCCAGTGTCTAACATTCTTGTGCCTATCAACCCAGTGCACTGAAGAAACAAAGTAGTTCTTTGACATGGAGAATTCTACCATTCCACTTGGAATTTTGAGTCACTGCATTCATAGGCAAAAATCTAGATCATCGAATTGTAGAAATTTGTACATGTTCTCAGAATCAAACATCTTTATCTTCCTTAGTTTGAGTTCTGGTCAACTAGCTATTTAAGCTAAGTTAAATGGGTAGTAACTGCAAGTTTGGGGGTTCATGCACAGTTACCTGCATTTCAGACCAGCTGGCCACTTCACTCTCAGCCCTAGTCTTGAGGGGCTAGGTCAATTCCCATGGGCTCAGGAGTTCACACATTTTCCTAAATTTCAGATTAGCCAGGCTTTCCTCATCTCTCTCTCATCTCAGGGTCAATGGGTGCTAGTGGAGCCTGGCCAAACCTGGTCCAAGTCTGCACTATTCATTTCCCCCATTTCCACTCAGAAGTAGACCCAGGTGGCCATCATTGAGCATACTATACTGCTCATGGGTTACCTTTGAGTGTCAGTCCTAGAAAGGCATTTTCTCTGATGGGCTGACTTTTCTTTCCTTGATCCCTCCAAAGCAAACAGCTTGCTTGATATTCAAACAACCAAACAGTCCACTTTTTTTCTGCAGGTCTTTCTTCAAAAAGAATCTTCTGTTCTCTCAGCAATTCTGGGTTGGTCTTCAAGTATCATGCTCTTTTAAAGAATTCTCTATTTGAGATCAAATTGACCCTGACCAGTTAAAAGGTTGGATGGGAAGCTTAGGGGTCAGTGAGTTTAAGATAATGATGGTAGAATAATTTGGAAAAGAATAGCAAGAATGGTAGCACAACTTAAAGAATGTGTTTAGATTTACTGAATCATACATAGAAAAGGTGTGTCATTGTATATACTTTCACACCAAAAAAAAAAAAATTAAAGAAAAAAATAAATTTAGAGAAGTAAATTTAATATGACCCTTAAAAAAGAAGATGCTTCCCAACATCGACACAAGCTTTTATATATATGTATAGCAAATATGATGGAATCCTGGTGTGATGCTGTAGGATAAGCACTGGACCGCAAGGTCAGTTTGAACCACAAGGTTCCAGTTTAACCTCACCAGATGTTCCTCAGAAACCCTATATAGGGTCATTTTATATATATGTATATGTTGCAGTATGTTACTACAAGTACTAGTAGCAGTATTTTTAATTTACTCTCATAAGAATAACCACTCGTACCCTTGTAAGAATAAACACAAATGCAGAATTCATGCTGGCCTCCAGGAGTCCTTGTACACCGTAGAATGGGGACAGCTGGCTGTTAACAATGAAAGAACCCTACCACCACGGGCCTAGGTGGAGACCTGCTTGAAAAGTTGCAATATGAGAAACAGTTTTCTCTATCAACTGGAGAGAGGCTTGCAGTCTACGACATTGAAGGAGATGCCTCAAGGAGCATCAGAAATCAGGGCCACCACTGGGGTGGCCAAAGGAAAGGGCTGGAGACATAAGTATGCCAGTGTGTGGATATAGATAAAGAGTTGGTACAGGTCGAGATAAAGTCAGAGGAATCTAGAAGCAAGAAGAAATGATCGCAAAGGCAGTAAAGTGAATAGTTGCCCTACTGTTGTTGTTGTTAAGTACCATGGAGTCGATTCTAAATCATAGTGACCCTGTACAGGGTTTCTAAGGCTGTAAATCTTTACAAGAGCAGAAAGCCTCATCTTTCTCCCGTGGAACAGCTAGTAGTTTTGAACTGCCGACCTTGAAGTTAGCAGCCTGATTCGGAACCACTACGCTACCAGAGCTCCTTAGTTGCCCTACTTCTGCCGTGAAAATAGCTGCAACAGAGTATCAACAGCTCAGGGTTCCAAAATGTCATTAGAACAATGCATAGGGCAAACATCAGCTAAGAAGATGGACAGAACAATGCGTGAGTAAGAGTAGGACAGAGGGCTGCTAAGGGAAGACCATCCCACAAGAAGCAAGTGGATGGCTTTCTGAGGCTTCAAGTAGGAAGAGCAAGAGGGACCCTTGCAGGTGGCAGCTTCCTCAATCCCTGGCCTGCTCTGAACAAGCTACTCCCTTGGCAGCCCCTCCATCAGCCCTACCCTGTCTGCCTATGCCAAGAAGCTCCCAGCTCTTTCTCAATATTTGGATAGTGTTGTAAAGGTGAAGGAGGGAACGAAGTGGGCACAGCAGGTCCTGGTTCTTGGGAGCTGCAGATAAAAGTCGCTTTTGCAATAACTGTAGGCCATTGTGCAACTTGCTGGTCATCTCTGACCCTCAGATTCCTGGATTTCTGTTAAATGCAGACACGGATGAGGGCCTCACTCATAGGACCTCAGTGCCTGCAGATGAAATTATGGGCTGGGAGTACTCTACAAACGCTAAGGTGATATGCGCATAATGATAAATTACAGTGGCGAGTTTCCAGAATTCAGGTGGGGGTGGAAATGAGTGAGTCAACAAGGAAGAAAATTACCTTGCTTCTTGAAGGGGGTTCTCAGAAGCCAGGACTAGGTGGCTCAGGTTACAAAGCATAAATAGAGAGTCTGCCAAGAAAAGTCTAGTTCACTGGGAGTTCCTGGAACCCTAAAGGAAACAAATGGTGAGTGTCCCTGTCCCTGCCGTTCATTCTCTTTCTCTCATGTCCTGTGATACTGCCTTTCCCAGCTAGACTTTTTATCTTACTGGTGTGGAGAAAAGCAGATCTGTGCAGCTGTTGTGGTGTGGGAGAATAAGGGGCTCTTCTGTCTCTCACTTGGTTGCTTTGCCTTGGGGGGAAGTTTGCTTTCTAGGCTGGGAGACAGGTGAGTGGGATGTGACTTCTACCCAGACCCCAGTTGCCACCATGTGGAGAACTCAGGTGGAAACCCCAATTTCAACTTCCCTCTTGGTTCCTTCTGTTTCCCTGATTTCTTCAGCAAGAAGAGCAGTGTGGGAAGGCAAACCATGCATTCACTAGCCTGAGTTCTAAACCTACCCCTATCTGCCTGTGGAACATGAACAAATCTGCTTCTCTCTTAGCCTCAAATTGTTACTTATAAAATATGCTTCCTGGACTAGATCTCTGGTCTAATTTTCAGGTAAATGATATGATGCTTTTTAATACAAAATATCATTAGTTATAAATCTTTTTTGAAAAATACAATATTTCTCTGAATGCTTAGTGTAAACTGAATGCTGCTTGGGTTGAAGGGGCCTGTAGCTCTTTCTATTTCTGCTGCATCCTGTTAAGGTATTTCTGCTGAATCCCAGGTCAGAAAACTTCTCAGTCAACTCTCTTCCATGGCCCCTACTACTACAAAGGGCTGTGATACTTTCTGCATCATATTGAGCTAGGGGACAGTCTTCTCTAGATCTGAGGCAGCTGCAGACCAGGGAGCACGGCCCTTGCCTGGACTTGGTGCTCATGATCGAACCTCTGTCAGAAAGGGCTGCAAAGCACAACTCTAGGTGCCCTAGGGTCTTTAGAGCACCTAATTTTTGTCTCTGAAAACATTCCCTGGGTTTCCTCATCGAGACAGCATTGAGTTCAGGAATGACACATCTAGCAAACAGGCAGCCATATGCCCAGGCTGTGATGGATGGCAACGAATATCAACCATTGGGGTTTCTGGTTCTTTCTTAGACCCACACTATGGGTAGCAGTGCTACTCCATCTAAGGCAGTTAGTAAGAGGAAACAGGCTGGCCTTTTCTGAGGTAGACCAGTCACTTGTTGTTTTTTGAAGTTTGTATTGTGAATTGAGCGATAGTTTACATGGGAAAACATTGATTTTACACTCATTTCATTGCAATGATTGCAATCTCCTCTGTGTATCATCATTCAACAGTATTTTTGCTTCTATTCCCTTCTGCTGTGGTTTTTTTGCAGTGGGTGTGTGTGTGTACAAAAAAAAAAAAACAACCACTCAGGAATATATAATCATTTAAACAACCAAAGGGCACATTCTGCAAGCCTGCCTCCTGCCTGCCAGCACACAACCTTTCTCTTTCCTTGCTAGACCAATCACTTCTATTGAACACACAGTAGGAAGGAGATCCTGAGAGGGAAACTGACATACCCAAAGGCACACGACGAGTCTTTCTGCAGTGGCAGATGTTCTGATGGCAGTGTCCAAGAGGAGGCACCAGAAGAGATGGAATAGGATATTTGAGAATAAGTGGAGACTGCTGCGGACCGTGTCAAAACTCCAGCTGGGACACTGATACTTTCCAAGTTCAAACTGCGTGCTCACCTTGTCCCTAAACTAAGTTCACAGCCTTGCTGTTCTGGCATCTGTAGCAGAGAAGAGGAAGCAGAGCAGGCTTCTCCTAAGCTTCAGGATCTAGGTCAAGCCCTAACCTATATCCAGGACCCAAGAGTATGTCCAATGTCTTCCTGTTCATCTCCTCAGGCCATGCTGATCCGTCCTCTCTCTATGCTGACCCTGCTTACACAGCTCCCAGGGTTCCTGGAAGCAGAAGTGAAGATCTATTCCCAGAAAACAGTGGCCAACGCCTGCACTCTGGTCATGTGTAGCCCACTGGAGAATGGTCTGCCTGGTCGTGATGGACGGGATGGAAGAGAGGGCCCCCGGGGCGAGAAGGGGGATCCAGGTAGAGCGGGGATTTGGGACTTTCCTGGCAGGGAAGGGATGGGCATTGGAATTGTAAGCAGTGTAAAACTCTGCATACTTTGCTATGGAAACCTTGCAGATGGACTTCCTTCTTGCCAATGGGGGAGGGGGTGGGGGTGGGGGTTCCAGCAAACATTGAGTCCACATAAAACACTCTTGACCAGTTAGCAGATGATGTTGTCCTAAGGCCCCAAGTGCCTCTTTCCATCACTCCTTCTGCTGCTCTGACCCTTCCTGAGGGTCCTCTGGATTCCTCCCTCTCCAACAACCAACAGAGTGGGTGAGTGATTAGTGGTGGAGGTCTCCCAGACTAGCTCTTGCATTCAGCAGTTGTTAATTCTGATTAAACGATGATGGTTCCAGTTGTTAAATATTTTGAATATTATCCTTCTCCATACAGTGGGGGAAAGAATGAGGCTGCATACGCAGGCCTGATGGAATGGATTTTCCGCAATACGTTAAGGAGGAAAGGAAAGGGAGCTCACATTTCTTTACTCAGCCTTGTGCATCAGTGTTCACGTCACTAGTTCATTCAATCCTCTTCATCTCAAGTGATGATAATAACCTAAAACTGGACACAGTGCCAAGCACAACCTTACAACCAGTAGTGCACAGTAGCTTCTCCTACCACATTCTCTCTATAGGCAGGCCTGGCCCCTCTTGCCATGGAGCACAGATTCCAAGTCACCTCTACTCAGCACAAACCTCCAAATCTTTCTGCCCTTAAGTCCTACTTCTTCCTTTCCCACTGTTATGGAGTTGATTCAGACTCAAAGCAACCCTTATAGGATGGGGTAAAATTGTTTCTTAAGGTTTACAAGACTATAAATCTTTATAGGAGTAGACAGCCTCATATTTCGCCCATGGAGCAGCAGGTGTGTTTGAACCACCAATCTTACAGCAGCCCAGTGCTTCACCCACAGTGCCAATGGGGCTCCTACCTCCTTTAAAAGGAGTGTGTGCTGAGGCTGGGCTAGAGCTGGGCAGGATGGAACTGGGCTATGAGGGACTGTTGTTATTAAGCACTGTGGAGTCGGTTCTGACTCATAGCGACCCTGTATAGGGTTTTCAAGGAACGACTGGTGAACTTGAACCATCAACCTTGCAGTTCAAACTGATGCTGCAGTCTAGAGCATTAACCCACAGCACCACACAAGGACTCAACTCCATCTAATGCAGTTTCCCCACTTTTTACGCTTGTCTCATGGCTTAAAATTCTATTACGAATCTGTTGCAGATTAAGTCCTGTTGCTAATCTTTGCATCTTGCTCAACGCTAAGCATAAAGTAGGTGATTCATGGATGTTTCTTAGTTAAAAAAAAAGAGAAAGAGAGAATGAAACAATGAACAAATGAATGAACAATCGAACAAGTTAGCACCATCACAAATTGGGTGCTATTTCTGATATAAACTTTGGTTCTGTGAAGGTGACAGCAAGGCACCGATGTTGTTATGTATCATTGAATTGCTTCTGACGCATAGGGACCCTGTATAAGGTTTCCGAGGCTTTAAATCTTTATGGGAACAGAAAGACTCATTTTCCTCCCACGGAACAGCTGGAGAGCTTGAATCATGGACCTTGTGGTTCACAGTCCAGTGCTTATGGCATGGAGCAACCATACGCTCAAAGCGTCGATAAGGAAGGGTAAATGCTGTCAGATTGCCTGTTGTCAGTGTCAAGGCCTAGGAGCAGAGGAAAAAACACTGTACTCAAGTAAGGCAGGTCTTAGGTTGAATTCTGCAAGTCTGAGCCTAGGCAAGCCTGTTTCTCACCTATGGAATGGGGATTCCTGCATCTCCACAGACTGAGGGTGTGTGGAGGTGAAAGGGGACCTGGCCCTGTGAGACAGCTGGTTTCTTCTGGGTCCATGGCCAACTATGTCCATTTTTGTTTCTGCTACTGCAGGTTTGCCAGGAGCTATAGGGCAAGCAGGGATGCCTGGACCAGCTGGTCCAATTGGACTCAAGGGGGACAATGGCACCACTGGAGAACCTGGACCAAAGGGAGAACCTGGGCCAAGTGGTGAGCAACTGGGTAGGGAATACAGAAGGCTCCTGGTGGTGCTACTACCGGCCAATAGAGGGCGCACACTCTTGTTCCAGGCATATGCCAGCAATCCTGCACAGAGACAAGCCAGAAAGAAGGAAGAAGGTCATTCGGCCAGCGGTACTAGCTGATTTCAGTGCAGACTGGGGCTACTGTTGGGTGGCACTGTTTTGTGGTGATGATGCCTGTCTGGCATCTGTTACTGCTCTCATCTAATCATGGACTCTTACTTCCAAGATGGCAGCGTCAGTGAATGGATTGGCCCTTTTCTCCAGGGATTCCAGGAACCCCTGGTGTGGCTGGTCCAGCTGGAAAACAAGGCCTTGCAGGGAGCCCGGGGGATATAGGACCTCAAGGCAAACCAGGCCCAAAAGGAGAGGCTGGACCCAAAGGTAGGTGGGAGGCCGGGGGGAGGTAGGTTGTTGGTGTGAGAAGGGAGGAATGTTGATGGACGTTCTTGTTGGGCTCTATGGCATGCTGAGAGTGCCAAGAAGAACCCAGAGCATCAGCACAGGGATGGACTTGCAGTGGGCTCCTAGCAGCTCACTGAAAAACAGACTTACTGATCCCTGTCCTCTCTACCCACATACCCACATTGACAATATTCTCCTAATATTCTCCACAAAGGACCTTGGCCAGCAAGGAGTCCAGTCTCTCTAGTTCTCTCTCACTCTGGGCTGTGGATAAAATGATACGTGCTGACACACTGTCAGCAGTGTTTGTCCCTATTTGTCCCTTCCTCAGGAGAAGTAGGTAGCCCAGGCATGCAGGGCTTGGCAGGTACTAGAGGCCTCACCGGTTCTAAAGGAGAAAGAGGAGCCACTGGTGAGCGTGGAGCCCCTGGAAATGCTGGGGCAGCTGGTGAGTGAAGGAAGGAGCTGTTCCCATGTATTCTGAGCCTACATGTGGGGCAATGGGGAGAGCTGATTCCAAAGGAGGATGCTGTGAGATTGTTTAGCCAAGGAGAGTGCAGTGCTGAGCTATGAGAGCAGTCAGTGATGACAGGTAGATTTCTGAGTGGTGGGGATAGGCTGAGTGTGCTGAGGAGGTTGATTGCTGGATTATGGGGGGACAGTCTGAGTATGTACAGAGGCGGTTGATTACTGAGCAATGGTGACAGCTGGTATATAGGGAGGGTGCATGGCTGGGTTCTAAGGAAAATTTGGATATGGGGAGGATGTGTTATAAGGCAATAAGGACAGTAGGTGTACACGAAGGATGCAAGGCTAGGATCTGGGTACACAGCTCTTCTTGTTTAACTACAGGACCTGCTGGAGCTGTGGGAGCCCAGGGACCTCCAGGTGCCAGAGGGCCCCCAGGACTGAAGGGGGACAGAGGTGTTCCTGGGGACAGAGGTGCCAAAGGAGACAGTGGGCTTCCAGGTAAGGTAATGACGTAAGTGGGAGTGCTCAGGACAGTCCCTTCTCCTGGCTGGCTGTTTCAGGGATTACTGGGAATATATGGAATGCAGAAAAGACTGACAGGCTGGAAGGCAGGAAAATCAAGTTCTGGTTTTACTTAGCTTCTAGTACTAGATGGAAGCCAAACTTGGGCAGTTTCTCCATCTAACCATTAGGAGAGCTATAGCTGCCTTTCAAATTCACAGGACTACTCTGACCATAACCCAGTGAATGGGACTACTTCAGGAATGGGTATTCCTGCTAAACAAAAGGAAGTGGCATCATACTAATATTTGCAGAATTTGGAGTTAAAAACTTATCTGGTTTGGTGTCAATAAGGGGCAGACACTTGCTCAGGGATACTTCACAGCAGACCCTCAGGAAATCCTGGTGGCAACAGGGACCATCTGTATCAGCAGTTGTGGGTCAACTTTGGCTCCAGTCCTACTTCCCCTACCATGTTCCTGCATTTGGGCTCTGTTTTCTGAGGCCCAGGCTCTGAGCTAGTCCCAGCTGTTCTGGACAAGTCTTCACTAACTAGACCCCTCTTCCTGCTGCAGGCTTGGCTGCTCTACAGCAGAAAGTGGAGGCCTTACAGGGACAGGTACAGAACCTTCAGGCTGACTTATTGAAGCATAATAAAGGTGAGTTCCTATACCTGAACCTAGATCAGGCTTGGCCGTATACTGGTTTGGGCCTTGGCTGGGGCTAGGCCTTTGCCTGGACAGTGGCCGTCACCAGGGGGGTATGGACCACATCTTGTCATTGTCAGGGGAGGTGATACCAAGATGACCCAAGGTCTGCAGCAATGACTGAACAGATAGGTGGGCTGGTACCAAAGGGTACAGAGGCTGCCAATACTCGTTACCCAGTGTGGCAATTTGTCCTCTCCTGTCCTCTCCACATCACCAGTCATGGTGCTGGCAGGTAAGATATGGTACCAGCCATTGGGTGGAAAGAAGGGTTTCCACCTTGGCCAATGGAAGAAGGGAGGAGCTGTGGGGAACCTGGGGGTGTGGCCAGGAGTGGGGCACTGCCTTCTGAGTCCTGTGATGGGGGTGACTGGAGCCCACCTCTCCACCTACGGGTTGGGGTTAACGGGGAATTTCATCAGATGGCCCTCACCCACAGGGGTTGGGGGTATGTGACTCCACGAGTTACTACATGATGTGGTACCAGCCCTAGGTACAGCGCTGACTGGACTGAGGCTGGGCCTGGGTCTGGTTCTAGAATGGGAGTGGTGATAAGGCACAGGAAAAGTGGCACAAGATTCGGGAAAAGCAGGGCAGCAACATTCTCCAGGAGCTGGAAGTAGGTCCAAGGGACAAGTACATGTTGCATGTTATCAGTTCCCTGAACTGGAAGAAGCACAGTCCCCCCAGGCTTTCAGCTTCCTGAACTCCCTGCAACACCAGTCCACCTGTGCCCCAAGCCCAATTAAGTCTTGTGTTCTGTCCAATTCAATAGCCCTTCTCTGCCCCCTTTGCTGTACTAGTCCCAGTGATAGAACCTGAGCACAAAGACAAGGGACACCCAGTGCAGGATGCTTTTCTTCCTTCTTTGGGGCCAAGGGTGAAATAACTCAGAAGTGATACTGCACAGCCCAAGAAAACAATGAATCTTGGCCATAGGGTTGGCTCCTAAGTACCCATGCTCATGGGTGAAAACTTCCAGCATTTAGTGTTTTGTTTTGTTTTAAGTAGTTTATTGTGGATTGAGTGAAAGTTTACAGGGAAGATCATCAGTTTTACATTCAACAAATCATACACCTTGTTTCAGCACAATGAAACCATCCCCTCCATGTACCATCAGTTAACAGTATTTTTCTCTAGTCACTTTAGCTCTTTTTAAAAACAACAAAAAAACCACTAAGGCATCTATAATAATTTATAACACCAAAGGGCACAATCTGCAAGTCTGCCTCCTGGCTGCCAGCTCTCAGTCCCTCTCTTTCCATGAATCTAGAGTCCTCAGTCACTCCCCATCTCCAGGTCCCCCTCTCTGCCTCCATCTCGGTGTTGCTGCATCTCTGGATAAGGTCTTGCATTCCGCTTGTGTTCTGCTCCCTTGATGGTCCTAGGGTCCTCTGTTTCTGGACTGTAAGATTAACTGCTCTCCCATTTTTATTACAAAAATTCTACCTTTACAACTGTGACAGTCACAATTACTCACTATTAAAATCACAAGAATCTTATCCCCATCTCTTTTATAGGTTTCTTCTTAGTTTTCCTGTTTGCTTGTTCTGCTTGGAAGTTCATTTTCACGGTAAGTTGTGAAGTAGTAACTTTCTTTGGGGTTACCTTATAGTCCGTGAACTTTTCTCTCCATTTAAAAGAATCTATTGTATCCTGTAATCTACCTGACATCCTCACCACCTGGATTGCTGTTTCTACATTTATCCCTTCTCTGACATTGATATTATTTTGATCTTTGGTTGACCTCCCAGCTCCTTTGAAATCATTGTTGTAGTTTTGTTCTGTTCTGAACTCTGCTATCTGTTGATTGAGTTCCAGGTGGTGTTGCCACACCTGTCAATCTCTGGTTATTGTCTGTTCTTGTTGATTTTCAGTCTAAAGATATTTAGGATATTTTGAAGTGCTGGATTGCTTTTGACAAACTCTCTTCTGTTTATCCTGGAATATTTTCATTGCACCATTGTATTTGATTGATTGTTTTGCTGGATAGATGATGCTTGGCTGGCAGTTGTTGTTGTTGTTGTTGTTTTCTTTTAGGCTTTTATATATGTTTCCCCATTGCCTTCTTGTGTGCATGGTTTGTGCTGAATAGTCAGAACTTAATCTGATTTACTTGCCTTTGTAGGTGACACTTCTCTTCTCCCTGGCCACTTCTAGGATTCTGTTCTTGACTTCGATTTTGGAGAGCTTGGTTATTATAAGTCTTGGTGACTTTCTTTTGGGGTCTATCCTTCCTGGGGTACATTTGGCTTCTTGAATGTTTATCTTCTCATCCTTTAAGATGTTAGAGAAATTTTCTTCCAGAAACTCTTCAACTATCTCCTCTGTGGACTTCTCTGATTCTTCCTGTTCTGAATGCCAATAATTCTTAAGTTGTTCCTCTTCATGTTATCCAGCATGAATCTTAGACTCTCTTCAGGTTTGTTTGTTTGTTTTTTTTTTTTATCCCCTTTTCAGCTTGCTCTTCTATCTTAACAGTATTGAGAGATTTGTCTTCCAGCTCACTAGTTCTGGCTTCCATCTCTTCTGCTCTGCTCCTTTTCCCTGTCTGATATTTTATTATTAATCATCTGGACCTCTTTTGAATTGTTTTGAATATTTTATTATTAATCATCTGGACCTCTTTTGAATGGTTTTGAATTGTGTCCAATGCTGTATCAATCTTGATTGATTGCTCTTGTAGTACTTTCTTGACCTCTTCCTTGTTTTCCTCCACCCCTTTTCGGAGCATTTGAATGTTTTCATATCACTCTTCTGAATTCCTTCTCAGGCAAATCCAAAACCTGCTCTG